CTCCCACAGAATTATCTCTGAACCCAATAGTCCCATGTGATTTCTACGTTATCATGTGCCCTTCAGTGCTATGTTGATAAACATAAATCCTGAACTAGAGAAATAAAGGTATTAACATTTATTGACTTCCAACTATGTACCAGATGGAGGGAGTTCCAAATTGGAACAGATCACTAACAGCGTCAAAGGACAAGGTGTAGAAAAGGTTAATCCACCTATAAACACAGAGTTAACAGATTTCCTGGGCAAACATCTACATCCAGTATTTTAGACCTAAAAACCTCATAAAAGGATTTTGATATGACTACAAAAACAAGATGAGGGACCAACCCTGATGGCCTAGTGGTTAAAGTTTGGTGCGCTCACCGGTTTGGTGGTGCAGCTTCGTTTCCCAGATGTGGAACCACACAACCCCTCTGTCAGTTGCCACGCTGTTGCGGCTGCTCACATAGAAGAACTAGAAGGACTTACAACTAGGATATACAACCATGCACTGGGGCTTTGAGGAGGAAAAAAACCCCAAAAAACCAAAACAAAGCAGAAGAGGAGGTGGGTAGGAACAGAGAAGACTGGGAGCCTAGTTTATACTCTTACTGCAATAAAATCTGCATGAAAACACACCCAGTAATTAAGGAAATTGGAAGAAGATATGATCGATGATTGACTCCTGTAACTCCCATCAATTAGCTGTGCAGGCTCATCTGGGTAATGTCATCAACCTTGCAGTAACGTGACTGAGTATTTTAAAGAATTAGGAATTTGAGGATCCCATTTGAGAGTGACAGCAGGGTTTTATTAGGAAGCTATCTGGGCCAGGCATGTGCTGTACGTGCATTATCTTACGGAATCTTCAAAATCAGTTTATTGGGTGGGTAGTATTATTATCTCCATTTTACAGAAGAGGAAACTGATCCGTAGGAAATTTAGTTTCATGCAAGGTCACATCCCAAGAGGGAGAACTGAGACTCAAACTTGGGTATGTCTAACTCTGTGATCCTTATTCTTTTTTTTTTTTTTTTTTAATATTTTATTTATTTTTTTTCCCTTTTTCTCCCCAAAGCCCCCCGGTACATAGTTGTATATTCTTCGTTGTGGGTCCTTCTAGTTGTGGTATGTGGGATGCTGCTTCAGCATGGTTTGATGAGCAGTGCCATGTCCGCACCCAGGATTCGAACCAATGAAACACTGAGCCGCCTGCTGCTGAGCGCGCAAACTTAACCACTCCGCCACGGGGCCAGCCCCTCTGTGATCCTTATTCTCAACCACCACGTATGGTTTTTGTGTGCTAATTAATGCTTCCATTCTTTCCACATTTCAAAAACAACACTTTATTATTCTACAGTTTAACGTGATCAAACTTGGGAATTGGACTCAGGAGCAGGGACTATGTGAGATACATCTAAATATGGAGCGAAGGCAGCAATCCCCTGCATTGACTTGGAGTCGGGGCAATTGGACAACGTGTATTAATTTATCTTACAACTTTATTGAGGTGTAATTGAAGTACAATGAACTGTGTACAGGTTTAAACTATACTATTTTATCAGTTTTGACAAATGCATACACCCATGAAATCATCACCATCATCAAGTCAACAATTATTTCTCTTTTCCTGAATTTTCCTCCAGCTCTTTTGTAATCCGTCCTTCCCTCCACCAAGATCCACAGGCAACCACTGAAATGCTTTCTGTCGCTATAGATTATTTCACATCTTTTAGAGTTTCATATAATAGAATCATATAGTATATATTCCTTTTTGCCATGCTTCTTTCACTCAGCATAATTTTGAGATTCACATGAAATTTCAATTTGTTGCGCATACCAATAGTTTTTTTTTGTATTACTGAGTAATTTTGCATTACATGGACATGCCACAAATTGTTTATCCATTTACCTGCTGATAGATGTGTTTGAACTGTCTCTAGGTTTTGACTATTACAAATAAGGTTGTTATTTGTACATTTGTGTACAAGTCTTAGTGTGGATATGTTTTCATTTCTCTTGGGTAAAAGCCTAGGAGTGAGCTAGCTAGGTGGTATGGTAAGCGTATGCTGAACTTTTTAAGCAATTGTCAAACTGTTTTCCAAAATGGTTGTAGCATTTTACATTCTCAACAGCCGTTCTCCACATGCTCACCGACACTTGGTATTGTCAGTTTAAAAAATACATATTAGCCATTCTTTTTTTTTTTTTTAAAGATTTTATTTTTTCCTTTTTCTCCCCAAAGCCCCCCCGGTACATAGTTGTATATTCTTCGTTGTGGGTCCTTCTAGTTGTGGTATGTGGGACGCTGCCTCAGCGTGGTTTGATGAGCAGTGCCATGTCCGCGCCCAGGATTCAAACCAACGAAACAGTGGGCCGCCTGCAGCGGAGCGCGCGAACTTAACCACTCGGCCACGGGGCCAGCCCCACATATTAGCCATTCTTTTGGGTGTATAGTAGTATGTCATTGTGATTTTAATTTGCACTTCCCATATGACTAATGATTTGAGCATCTCTTCATATGTTTATGGGCCAACTGTAAGTCTATTTAGGTAAAATATCTATTTATATTTTTTGCTTATTTAAAAAATTAGATTGTTTGCCTTCTTGCTGTTGAGTGATAAGAATTCTTCATATATTCTGGATACAAACACTTGTCTGGTACATATTTGGCAAATATTTCCTACAGGTCTGTGGCTTGCTGTTTTGTTTTCTTAGTGGTGACTTTCAAATAACAAACATTTTAGTTTTGTCAAACATCAATTTATCATTTTTTTTCTCTTATGGTTCACGCTTTTTGTGTTCTATCCAAGAAATGTTTGCCTACTACAAGGTCATAATTCTCCTATGCTTCTGGTAGAAAATTTTAGAGCTTTATGTTTCAAATTTAAGTCTATGATTTATTTTGAGTTTATTTTTGTGTATGCTGTGAGGTAAGAGTCAATGTTAATTTTTTTTTTTTTCTGTACAGTGTATCCAGCATCGTTTGTTGAAAAGATTTTCCTTTCCCCATTGAATTGCTTTGGCATCTTTGTGAAAAATCAATTTGACCTTATGTGTATAGGTTTATTTCTGGACTCTATATTCTCTTCCAAGATTTATAAATTTATTTTTTACCAGTACCACGTTGTTTTGATTACTGTAGCTTTACAGAAATTTTTGAAATCAGGTAAGTTGGGTAAATCTTCCAACTTTGTTCTTTCTTTTAAAAATGTGCTTTGACTTTGGTGAGTCTAGGTCCTTTGCATTTCGTATACATTTTAGAATCAGCTTGCCAATTTCCACAAAAAAAATGTCTGCTGGAATTTTGATCAATGTTGCACTGAAACTATAGATCAGTTTGGGGAAAATTGTCATTTTAATGATATCAAATCTTTCAATCTATGAATACAGTGTGTCTTTCCCATTTTACGTTTTTTTAAACTTTCTCTTAGTGATGCTTTGTAGTTTTCAGTGTGGATATCTTTGATTAGATTTTTTTGTTGTTGTTACTGTAAGTGGAATTTTAAAAAATTTCATTTTTGAATTGTTTGCTCCTTGTCTATTGGAATACATGATTTAAAAAATGTCAGCCATGTGTCTTGCTAAATTTATTTATAAGTTCCAGTAGTTATTTTGTAGATTCTCTGAGATTTTCTACATAAACAATTCTATCTGCAAATATAGTTTTACCTCCTATTTCTTTTCCCTTCTCTCTTCTTTTGCCCTCCTCTTCTCATTATTGCAATGGCTTAGACCTCTAGTATATTAAACAGAAGCAGTGAAAGTGTATACCCTTGCCTGTTACCAATTTCAGGTGATAACAATTCATTTTTCACCGTTAAGTATGATGTTAGCTGTAGGTTTTGCGTAGATGCCCATTATCAGTTTAGGAAAGTTCCCTAATAGTCCTAGTTTGCTGAGCATTCTTTTTTAAATCATAAATGAGTGTTGAAGTTTGTCAAATGCCTTTTCTCCATCTATTGAAAAGATCATATTGATTTTCTCCTTTATTCTATTAATATGGTGAATACATTTGATTGGTTTTCAAATGTTAAACTAACATTGCTCTCCTGGAATAGACCCTACATGATCATGGTGCATTATATGTTTATATATTGTTGGACTCAATGTGCTAATATTTTCTTAAAAATTTTTGAATCTATATTCCATACTTTGAGTCTTCTGGTAGTTATTTAGAATATTTTTTCAATTTATTCAGGGGGAGGCATCCTCTGGAGTGGGCTTATGATGCTATGTAGACCATGGGGAGCCAAAATGTGTAATTTTTTTAAATTAAAATATTTTCAAATGGTTCTATAGGTGAATGTGGGCTGCTGACTGGCCAAAGTTTCCAGCTAATCTCCTCAAATATGGATAAAGAATAAAGTCTCCTTATAAAATGTAATATACAATTTTTGCTGTACATCTCTAGCAGGATGCAAACTGGAGTATCCTTTATTGGTGTTTAGAACAAGACTTGTGCAATCAGACTGTAATATGCATCAGGAAGGTAGATATTTTTGTTGTTAGTTCACTGTTTTATGACTAATGAATGTTGACGTATATAAACTAGTCCACTTTTCAATTCTGGGCTTTTTTCTTATAAGGCCTCAATCCCAGATTAGCAGAGAAACTTGATCTGGCAATGAGAACTTGCTAAGCAAGGCGCAGCTCATTGAGTACCAGTATGCTTGTGGAATTGAGACACAGCAAACTGTGTTGCCACCGGAGGTGGGGGCGGTTGTCTTCTTTGGAGATTTTACATAAGGTTGAGACCATTTTTTTGGACTCTTAGACAATTATTGTAATCAGAGATAAAGACCTCAGCTAGAGAAACTTGTGTGCTTCCTTCTCACTGATGAAAGAGAAGTCTGAAGCAATGTGATCTTTTCAAGAAGACTTAGTTGAGGAGGTCAGAGCGTATTTACCATTTTTTGAGAACTATTTAAAAAAAAGAGGCCAGACTTCTTTGACAGACAATTTTTCTTCTGTTTGTGCAATTAATTAAGCAATGCTTTTGCTCACTCTCTCTCTAGACTGTAAGTTCCATGAAGACAGCAAACCTGTCTACCTGGCCCACGGTTGTATTCTCGGATACGAGCATAGAAACTGGTATATAGTAAGCAATAATATTCATTTCTTAAATAAGTGAATAAACGCTGTTTGCAATTCATTCCTATACAACTGTGGGTCTCTGGAAAGCTTCTTAATTGCTTGTTTTTCCCCAAAAGAGGCCAAGATACCAGAATGCATTCCAATCGGCAAAGGCTATGAAAGTGAAAAAACATACACAGATGGCCAGAGGCGGTTCAACTCATTCTTCTTCATTCCAGAAAATAACTCCCAAAATAGAACATTTTTTTTTTGATAGGGATATTTTGTCTTGTGGGTGGCTAATAATTAAGCCAAGAAAGTCTTGGTTATGCATGTTATGGCTATCAGCTTTTATAAGTTTATTCTGAGTGACCAGGGAATTCCTTTTTCTGCTGTAAATTTCTTCAGGTTTAGTGTCTGTTTAACTTTGTAAAAGCATCTGATGTATAATACAATCCAAGCTAAAACTGTTTGCAAAGTTGACAGCCATTGAGATTCTGGCCATTTAAAACATTTAAAAGAGACTTTGAATGACCACATGCAAATCAGATCTCTACAGGAGTGACACGAGAATGAAGGACTGCCTGTATACAGCGATTGGCACCCAGAAGAGTTCTTCGAGAGGCACACTGGGAAGATGACAGGAGGTTAATGTAGCTAGCTGGCTTCTTGGCTGGCATGTTGAGCCAATTAGTGATAAGGTACACCTGGCAGCTGAACTTTTTTCCCTCCCATTTTTTTCTTTCAAGAAAATGTATATTTAAGAAAGAAAAATAAGGAGAAAAAAAGGGCAAAAAAATAATGAAGGAAAGAAAAAGAAAGGCAGCCCACTTTATTGTTTTTTTCTCCTACCATTTGTTCTTAAAATTTTATTTTTAGAAATAAATGCAAGAATGTGTTTTTGGAACCATCTGAAAAAAAAATGTGTGTTTCTATTTCCAGTAAGACTTGAACCAGGTTTGAGATAATATTAAGTTTAATGGACAGCTCTTCGGCAGAAAGGCTAAAAATTTAAATCCTCAGTCCTCTCTGCAAGTGCAGTTTTTCTTTAAGATTGTCAAATAAATATGTTGGGGAAGATGGTAATTAAGTGTGAACACATGGCTGTTTTTTGCTGAGATCTTAAGTCTAGATACTTAATAGAATCATTTGCCTGTTGGAGTCAGTGGGCGTGATGTAGGATACTGGCTGGCAAGACATCAAGTTTGTCAAAGCTAATTGGGAAGTATGATAGAGATTCAAATTCCTTATATGGCTTTTAAGACTGGGGGAGTATTATAGCTGAGAGGAAGATTACGACACCGTGCTATACTATGCCAAAACCTAAATCAAGAAAGCCAAAACAGAAATATACTATTTCCAACAAACACTGAGGTGGAGTGAAAGGGCACTGGATGCTCGCTTCTACTTACTGCTTTGCTCTTCACTGACTTTGTGACCTGGGGGAAAGTCTGAATCCCTCTGGGCCCCAGAGTCCTCCTTTTTCAAATGGAGAAGAGTTGGAATTAAAATGCAATTCAGTTATTTTCCAAAGTGTTGTCCAGCTAGGAAGTTCTTACTAGATCAAAGAAGACTTCTGTGCCTTTGTGTATTCTGGGTACTTCTCTGTCTTCTTGTTAGTTGAGTGTGAAATACTACTAAAGATTCCAGGTGCCGGGTTTCAGTCTGCACCCTTCTCCTTCATGCACTTTATGTTTCAAGGACTTGAAAGCCTAGGGATATGTGAGCTATACATTTCAGAAAAATCCAGGGGCTAGCTCATAGCTAAGAATATGTCAAGGGTAGTTAAGCAACTCTGAGGTTTGTAAGAAAGTCCATTAAGGCAGCATGGTGGCAGAAACCAGAACATTCCCCAGCCTTCCAGCCCATGTGGGTGAGGCAGAGAACAGACGGAAGATGAAGATCTGGGTAGCAGTGGAATTTTTCAGCTTTCGTATACCATCCACTCAGGCTATGTATATAAATCTTTAAACAAAAGTTCTCTCTGAAAACCTTGTGATCAGAGTTTGGGCTAAAAGATTTTTGGTTAGACGAAGGGATAGGAGCTGTTGTGAGGGAAACTTCACAGCAAAGATAACATTTAATGAAACCAATGACCCAGGGAACTTGCAGAAGGAAGGGCGTATGACCCAGGTGCAATACTATATAAAACTATACTCTTCAGAAACAATAATAGGTATAATTTCACTAAAGGAGAAGGAAGGTCATATCTTCACAAGCCCAGTGTTTGCCAAGTCTGTAAGTCACCCAGAAAAAAGGTATTTATGATCATTATTCTCCCCAGCATCTTAGACTCATTGTTGTGAAGTCTGTGTTCCTGCAATTATTGTCAGGACATAGGTTATTTTTTAACTAATGGATGCTTGTGGACTTAAAGGCGATGACAGCCGCCTGAGAGGGAGCAAGCGACTTGGAGATGACAGCATGTCCAGACCCTCAGGCCCCGTTTCAGTAGAGGAAAGTCAGGGCTGTTGGGACACGGTTCCTACCTAGTTGTGGCTGAATCAGGCTTGCACTGGACCCCCTCACTTAGAATCTTGGGATCCCTCTGAGTTTGAACAGTGGGCCAGATGGATTATAGGTCTGCCTCAGGTGGTGTTTCTTACGGTTTTAATTAGACCTGAGTTTATCAAATGCATGGCAAGTGCCCAGAATCCGGCAAGGACGAGATGCCTTTCCAGCAAGCATTTTCTTCCCTCATAATCAATGTCAAAACACTTCTTGCCTTGTATACAATTCATCTGACTAATGAGTGAGTCCAAAACTTAGAGGTTCCTCTCAACTTACTTTAGAACACGATTTGCCCATTCCATAATCTCTTAGCCTGTGCCTGGAGCTGCCCAGGAGCTTAGTTCATGGAAGGGATGGCAAAGGGTGTGGAGAAGATGGTAATTGCTGTTTGGAAATTCGAGATGACTGGAAAAACAAATGGAGGATATCAAACTTTCAGAATTTCATTTCTACCAGACAATCATCTATATAAATTCTTCACCATGACTTTATATCAGATGTATCAAAAACAACCAGGTATGGAATGTAAATAGAATTGAGAATCTTATCAATTAAAAAATATATGTATATAAAGAGAGATGTGCTTTACTAGTGAGCTTATCTTAAATAATCACATATTGTAACAATTAATAAAATTAAACATGAATTAAAACTTTAGTTTGAAACATGCATATATCCGTTGTCATCTTAACTCACGGCTGTTGATTTTTTAGCTCCCACGTTTGTTACATGGCTGCCTCCTTCTTGTCTTTTGCAGCTCATGTCTTCCTTGACTACTTTATCTAAAAAATCTCTCATCTAAAAAGCCCCCACCTTGGGGCCGGCCCGGTGGCACAGCGGTTAAGTGCACACATTCCGCTTCAGCAGCCCGGGGTTCGCCAGTTCGGATCCCAGGTGTGAACATGTCATTGCTTGGCAAGCCATGCTGTGGTAGGCATCCTACATATAAAGTAGAGGAAGATGGACACGGATGTGAGCTCAGGGTCAGTCTTCTTCAGCAAAAAGAGGAGGATTGGCAGCAAATGTTAGCTCAGGACTAATCTTCCTCAAAAAAGAATATAAAAGCCCCCACCAGTCTAGTCCAGGGTACAAAGGGACAATCATGGCAGAGACCACAACTTGTGCCTTTTATGCCTTTATTATTAAAATAATAGAACTCCCCAAGTTTTAGGTGGGCACCTGCCTGCCCAAATAGATACTGCATTTCCCAAATGTCCTTATAATTAGCTGTGACTGAGTGATTAAATTTGGGTCAATGGGAAGTGAGAGGAATGAAAATAAATCATGTGTGGGTCATCTCCTTAATGATGAACCACTTGCCCCGGATGTTGTCTATGCCTTTCCTACAGGCCGAGATGCAGACGTGATGCTGGTGAGCTGCTCCAACCATGCTCATGAGGACAGCACCCTAGAGCATGGACCGGGAGATGGAAGGAATCTTATTTATGGGAAGCCCTTACAGAAGGAGCCACCGTCCAGCCTTGGACAGGTCACCTCTGGGAGCAAAAAATATATACTTCTGTATTCTTTGAACATCTGTATTTCTGATTTCTCTTTTACTTAAATTGAGCTGTACCCTAAACAATATACCCTCTACCCACGTTTCATTTTCTTCATAGCAGTTTCCGCTATCTTTATTTCTCTGTTTACTTGTTTATTGTCTGTCTCCCCTCACTGGAATGTAATTTCTGTGACAGCAGAGATCTTGTGTTAACTTCTACATCCCCACTGGCTAGAATAGTGCCTGGCACATGGTAGGTGTTGTATGAATATTTGTGAATTAATGAGTGAATTAGCTGTAATTAGGTAAATAGTGATTGGTGTGTTCGTTATAAGAGCACATTTGAATGGATTGTTATAAGGCTACTGAGGAAAGGGATAGCTGAATATCTGTAAGAATGTGGCTCTGATTTGAGTCACATCATCATTTTTCACTGGGGAGTCAAATTGTTCTACTTTGTGCCACATCCCAGCTTCGCTGACAAGAGGCCACGGCTTAGGGCTAGTTTGAAAGTGGCAAATATTTAGCTCCTCTGTTGTTTCAAATGGGACAGCTTGGTGGGATAGGATGAGATGAGAAGGGGGAAAAGCATGGACAAAAGTAGTATTCTTATGCTATCTAAAACTTGAGGTCATGTGCAGGGTGACTATACAATTCAGTGGCCAAACTGCAGACTTTGAGGATGCTACAAATAATTATACTGGGACCTAATTGCAAACAGGGACTATTTCAGGCTGACCTGAGCCACTGCCTAGTCAAGTATCAATTCACAGAGAAAACTTGCCTGCTTTCTTTGACAGATAGTCACTGCATTTGACAAATGGCACTCTCAAGGATTTAATGAATGAGACGCTGACCAGGAAACACAGAAGTGGTCCTAAATTTTCTCCTGTGACTGGATGTTTTGCTGAAACATGAGTAAGTCACTCAGCCTATCAGTTCCCACAATGTTTAACCTCCATATTAATTCTACTTTGATTCACTTAAGAACATGAAGTAAAAGTTGACCAGTAGGCCGCAATACAAAAGAAACAATTATTGATTCAGGTTTCGAGATCAGGAAGGGATCTCTTTAGTGCAGCAGAATTGTTTCAAAGATTTACTTTCAGCTATCATCTGGAGGCAAAAAGAACACATTTTTAGGACATCGATCAGCTGAGCAGAACAGCTGCCAGTTCTTGGATGATGTAAACATTTTGAACAGAGGGTAAAGGAAACGGGCAGAATGTGAACACAAAAAAGAGAGGTGGTAGAGGACGATAGGGGAACAACTTGCGAAAGGGCAGAGGTACATACGACGAGAAGTTTAGGAAGGCATCACAACCGCAGGGATCTGTTATAGATTGCGGTAGTGCCCATGGGCTTTTTCGAGAAGATCCTCAGCAGGCTTATAATATACATGGTGAGAGAACAGAGCAGTGGGATTCATCTGGTCCTTCATTCCACACGTATTTATTGAGGGCCTACCATCCATCTGGTGATGAACTGGTGGTGCGAGGGGGTTGTCCCTTTATCCTTGTGTCAGGATCAATGTCAATACATTAAATGCTCTCAAAGAGCAGTCACATGTATTCACACTTGGTACATCACAAAAGAGTCATACAAATGAGGAACTTAGCCAAGAATGATGTTTACAACTAAATCTGTAATGAGAGGAAGTTACAGAGGAGCACAATGCCATGGTAACACTTATTTACCCATCATGCCTGTTCTGGGAGCTTTTTATATTATAAGGAGAGATGCATTCTCTCTCACAATGAATCAGGATGCAGTCTCACTCCTACGGGGCCATATTCATAAAATGGTGAGATATTTTATATCTGGACTTCACTAACTAGTGAAAGCCAGTAAAATCTTTGATTCTGAGTTTCGCTATAATTGATAGGGTGCACAATAAAGCAAATGAGAGTTTACTTGACCTTGAATAAAGAAGTATTACCAGGAAAAAATTAGGAAGGGTGGACTGACATTTCTGGTTGAGTAAATCCTGCTTGGTTTCAGGGGAAATGATTGATTTCAGAGTAGGATCCAGGTAACAGTGGTTCTCAAACTTTATCATACATAAGACTATGCTTAAAATGTAGATTTCTGGGCCCATTCCCAGAGCCAGCTTCAGTGAGTCCAGGGTGAGGTGTAGAAAACTGCATTTTTAATAAGCTCCCCAGGTAATTTTTGAGCAATTTTTCCTCGCACCACAGCTTGAGACCACACTGTCCTAGAAAAACCACCCCGATTACCTGGAAGCTTCCGATGGGACTGCAGAGACCAAGGCAGGTTTTTGGAAGCAACCTGGCACAAGCTTGCAGAGGACAAGCTGCTGTTTTAGTTTTCCACCCCTAATTAATAGGATCTGGAGCCTACAGTAGCTGGCACGCGATTTAGAGCTATTTTAAACAAGACAAAACAAATGATGTGCAGCTGCAAACTGCTACCTTGAAACATAAATTCAGCTGCAATTTGTATTCAATTTCTTACAGATGTGGCACAGCAACATGATAGCACTTTCTGAAGCCCGTAATGCTGGAGTGGCGATCTACAAGAATCTGACAAGAGCAACCTGCACTGGGGCACATGTGACTGTTATTATATCTTAAAGTTATGGCCATGTAAATGTGCAACATGACCAAAGTTGAAGCGCCTCGGCATTTCACTTCACCAGAACGCCTGTATTTCCCCATGTGTAGCACAAAATCACCCGTGAATACACTGTCTATGTGTTTTCGTTTCTCTTCATGGGCAATGTTATAGCTGCCATGTTGCGCTAAAATTACATGACAGCAATCTTAACTTTCTGACACTGGTTTGCTGTTCAGTGAAACATCCTAGTGGAGAAATTGGCTGAGAATGACGGTGGCTGATTTGTAATTCTCTTGGGGCTCACTCTTGGCCTTTGCCTAGGCTGGTGGATTTGCTGAATATACCTACAGTCCTGCTTGTGGAGCATATTCTCAAACTTTAGAGTAGACCACAATTCCTTGGGTGGTGTCTGTCTAAAATGCACCTTCCTAGACCTCACACGCAGATGTGCTGATTTAGGCCTGGAGTAGAATTGAACAATGAGCGTTTTTTAACAAGACCCATGGATGATTCTGAGGCAGGTGGTCCACAGATTCCGCCTTGAGTAGACCATTAGCTTAGCACCACAGGGAGATGCAGGGAAGTGGAAATCGTGGTCTCTGCGATTGATGCATGTAAACAGAAGAGAGAAGGTAAAGACATTTACGACATGCAAATGATCAAGGAGCCCCTAAAAAAGGCCAACATTTATTGAGTGCTTACTGTGTTCCAGGCATATGTATTAACTGATTTCATTCTCAGTGCTGGGTTCTGTAACTAGCTTCATTTACACTTAAGAAATCAAGGCAGAGAGAAGTTAATTATCTTGCCTAGAATCATAAAGCTATTAAGTAACAGGATTGGTTTTGAGCAGGCAGGTCTGCCCCTAAAGCACTTATTCTAACTCCAGCTCTGCACAGCCTCCAGCTGGTATGCTTTGCTTCCAGAATCCAAACTTGCCAAGTATGTAAATTGGTGTTTGTTTATCGTGTGTGGGTATGAAAATTCATATGAGAAAAGCATTGTCTCAAAGTTTTCCTTTAAGAATGAATTCTTATTTTTTAAACAAAAGGGTTAATTTATGATTGCAGTTGTATTAAAAACTCAAACACACACTGTAATAAATTCTAGCCAGGCACTACACTTAACACTGGGGATATAGAAATAAAGGTCTCTTGGGGAGCTTATTGTGTAAAGAGATAAAAAGAGCTGGTCACAGTCCAGGATAATATACCAGACAATCTACAGCTTGGTATTGGTAATTGGTACAATGGAGAGCAGCATAGCTTTTGGCGGAAGCACAGGGCAGTAGGAGTGGGAGGTTGTGGTGTCCAACCATTGGTTGGATCTAGGTTAGGCTACTCTAGGAGACTTCACGAAAGAAGTATGACCTAAGCGGCATTTGGAGAATGTGCTATAGAGTCCATGAAAATCTAAGAGCTTGCCATGTGATCCATCCTCCTTTAAGGAAGCTCTTTCTATAGATTTGCCATGCTTTATGGCACGTGACTCTGTAACTCTGGTCATAACTTCCTAGATCAGGGAAGTGCCCAGCTCAAAGGCAATTGTTTAGAAAGAAGGTAATAGTTTGTTCATTTGGGGAATGTGAGTGGAAGATGAACCTAGGAAGCAATGGACAACTGTGTTTGTGGCAATGACATGATGTCAAGGTACTGCTACTCAAAGCATGATCCATGGATCTGTGCTGATCCATGAACTCTCTGTTACAAGTACGTGAAGAGATAAGTGCTGAAATTGAGAGTAAGAGTAAAAATTTTCGTAGTGATTGAGCATTGCCAGAACATCCAAGAGCAGGTCTAATGGCTGTATTAATTTATCTGTTAATGCAAAACAAATTATCCCCAAACTTAGTGGCTTTAAACAGCAATAAATGTTCCTTATTTCACACAATTTCTGTAGTTCTGGAAATCAGGATCTGCTTAGCTGTTGTTTCTGGCCTGGTTTCTCCTGAGTTTGCTGTCAAGGTGTTGGCTGGGGCGGCAGTCATCTGAAGGGTAGACCAGGGCAGGAGATCCACTTCCAAGATGACTCACTCCTATGCCTTTTGGCAGAAGACCTCAGATCCTTTCCACGTGGACTGTTCCACAGAGCTGCGTCAGCCTCCTCATGACATGGCAGCTGGCTTCTCCAGAGCTAGTGATCCAAAAGAGAAGTTGCAACACTTTTCATGACTAGTCTCAGAAGTCACACACGGTAAGTTCTGCCACATTCTATTCATTAGAAGCAAGTCACTAAGTACAGCCCACACTCAAGGAGAGAGCAGTTGGACTCCACCTTCTGATGAGAGGAGTGTCAAAAAGTTTGTGGATATTTTTAAAAACCACCACAGTGTACATATCTTTTAAAACAGATTATAGACAAATTTGCGTGTTGTGGAACATGCATATCAAGTTGCGTGTGGCGAGGACTGTGGAGTAGTCATGTACGGTTGGAAAACTTATTCCACAAAATTGTGGATACTTAAGAAATGGTCCTTTACCATTTACCAGGGATAGATTTAGAAGCACTAGTCTAGAGCCTTGTATCCTACTCTTCAAAGACTTTTGCTCAGATAACCCCAAAAGAATTTTGAAAATCTATGTACCGTCTGTTACATATTTTAAAATTAACGCTAAAAAACTTTGTCATAATTAAAAAAATTTAAAGAATATAATTTCTGGTATATTATAAATATTGATACTTGAAAGAAAATGATTACATTTCTCTTTTAATTGCATTCAGTGGGATCTAAATAACAATGTCCAGTTAAAAGAACTCACCACGTCCAGTTAAAAACACATGAAGAAGACTTTTTTTGCAGGGGAGGATTTGCCCTGAGCTAACATCTGTTGCCACTCTTCCTCTGTCTCTCTCTTTTTTTCTCCCCAAAGCCCCAGTGCATGGCTGTATATCCTAGCTGTAAGTTCTTCTAATTCATCTATGTGAGCCACCGCCACAGCATGGCAGCTGACAGATGGGTGGTGTGGTTCCACAACTGGAAAGCAAACCAAGGCCGCTGAAGTAGTGAGAGTGCTGAATTTTAACTTCTAGATCATCAGGGCTGGCTTGAACAAGACCTTTTAACATTTGGAAATTGTGTCTTTCCTTTTTATGTCTGTCTATCTACCTATCTATCTATCTATCTATCTATCTCATCCGTCCATCCATCCATCCATCCATCCATCCATCCTGCTCTATCTATCTATCATCTCTCTATCATCTATCAATCATTATTTATCTCCTTTAGCTCACCTTTCCATTTCACTTCACCTAGAAAAAATTACCATAATGAAAACTAATTTTAATTGAAAAGTTTTTATCAATCACCCTATCATAATTCTCTGCTAGAAAAATATATATATAAATTGAAAATTTAAAATTCATTTTATTTTCTGTAATTTAAGGCTCTAAGTGTTAAAGCTTTCAGGTGTAAATTAAGTTCCTGTAATAAGTATTATTAGTATACAATTGATCAAAATATGATAAATATTGATAAGTAACTGTTTAAAAGAGCAAAATTTTATTGGAATTGCTTATCTCAATGAAGTAAAATAGAGCTTTTACTTTTAGTTTGTGATTCCATTGGATGAGAATGACTTATTGCCAAAATGAGAGAGAGTTCAGCATTAATTTTATACCTAGTTTTCATTTTTATAGACGTTTAAGAAGTCTTGTTCTCATAGATAGGTGTGAATAGACTAAGTTTTGTTGTAGTAATATCACTCAATTCTTTTGACTACTTCTGGCTTCTGTACCAAAAATCACATAGGGATCTATCATAAATTTAAATTTAAAACTTCAACTTTGTTTAAAGCCAAGAATTCAAAATAGCCCTGCCCTTCAAATGGATATGTTATATAGTCATTAGAGTCATTCATTTCTTAGTTTCTGAGAAAACACCAAAAAAACCCTTCTTTATCTTTGAAAAGTCTTCATCAAGCCTTAATAAGAAATGGCTATTAATTTATCTGATATATTTAATAATATAATATAGAGATATATTTATTTTATTTCATATAATTTTATAAAATCCATTAAAAATAAGTTATAGATCATGTCTTAGAGATGACAACAATCACGTCAAGATTAAACTATTATAGTCATATAATTAATTTTATGTTGTTATAAAAAAGATAAATCTATATTCTGTTTCATATTACTTAATTTGTTATAAAGCAATATAAAATTTAGTTAAATTTATTACATTTTTACAGGAATGATGAGCATTATAAAAGACATGCCATTCCTTCTATATATGGATGTGTATTGAAGCTTATTCCTTTATCATACTTCTAATTCTCTGTTTTATGTTTTTAAATATTAAACACATTTATTTTATACTCTGCATCATAATTCCACTATCTAATGAATTTGTATATCTCATCCTGTTTTATTTGCCTCTGATTCTCGCTCCTGGTATCTTGCTTCTGCTTCTGTTTTGTGATTTTTTATTGTGAGCTCATATTGGTTGTAATTCTATCAGTGGGATACTGTTGAGGCTGAATTTGAACACGCATTCCCCTAGGGAAGATTGTTGTTGCTTCTACCAGGCACCTCCGGGCGTTAAATCTGAGTCCACTTTAAATTAGGCATGAGAGCATAGTCCATCTTAAATTATAAGTATCTATTTGTAGTTTTTAGAATCATGCGAACAGTATAGATCTAGTTCCAGAATGTATGGGAAGGCTGGCCTGTGGCCATTTGTTCCCACGGAATCTTTGAAAAACTTCTGTCCAGTATTCCTTACTGTCAGCTTGTGCAGATGAAGGAGTTTTCCACCCTGTTCGCCCTTTCCCTGAAGGTGTTTTTCTTCCTGCGTCCTATCTATCTTCTGTGCTTGGTAATCTTACCTAGTCTAACTCCTTTCCTTGCCTTGTTCCAAGGCTGTTTCTTCAGCACCCTCTGCAGGCCAAAGCCCTAAGCCGCCTGAATCTACCCCGGCACCCAGATCTAGTAACTCATGTAATTGTTACGGCTACTTCACTCAGTTGTTCTTCCTTCCCAAGTTTGTTAGGTGTATTTATCCAGAAATAAGAAGATGTCTCCATTTATTAAAAATAATTATTGAGCACTAATTATGTGCTTTGATCCCGTTAGATGACAGAGTTACAAAGAAAAGATAAAATACAACTTCTCTTCTTGTGGAACTCACTGTCTAAACACAGAGAGAGATACGCCACAGTGGGTGGAAACAACAGATGAGAGACTGGGGCAGAGAGACCTCACTTGATGGAGCCTTGAAAGTAGACTAGGGGAGCCCCACACAGAAGGTGAGAGAGAGCAAAGGCTTTTCAGGCAGAGAGAACAGTTGTGGCAAAGGCCCAGTGGTGTAAAATGGCCTGGTATATAGAAGTCAGCAGTGGTGGAGTGGGGAATATTTAGTATTTAGATTAGTTAAACAATCAGAACTTTTGACATTAAACAATTGCTACTAGGAGAGCCCAAAGTTGCTTTGAAATGTAAAAAGAGTTTTCTCCACTCTGCTCCATGTTGATTAAAGGGAGTGTTTTTGGCAGCAAAGCAACTATGCAGAGTTGGCTCAAGGAACTTTAGAGATGCCATTTCAAACTGGAGGTGTTTGGGGCCTTGTTTAATGATGTCTTGGAACACAATAGAAAGCTAGTTAATTTCAAGATTGTATAGGGGAAAATGAATATTTTGCAACTGTTTGGAACTGGTCCTAAACAGTCTGAGTATTTTCCTATACTGACCTCGAAACATCAAAGCAAAACAGGGAGATGTAGCTTTATAACTGGCTTATTGAGAAATTGCCCCTCAGTGGATGTAAATACAGAACAGCTTTATTTTGTTCTATTGTTGACTTCATCCATGCTCCATTGAATCTCTTTCCCCATCACTTGATCGTATCTTAGAAAGATTCTATAAATTCCCAGTCATGTTTTGCAATTAAAAGCTGTCCTCAATTCCATCTAAATTTCCCCTTCTCACCTCCCCCCAGTGCAGGCTTCACCTATGATTCTAAGACCTGCTGGGGGAATGGGGCATGGTCTGCACCAGATTGGAGGGTGAAAGGGGCATGGTCTGTGTCGTGGACACCTCCTCTGTCTCCGCCTTCTATGCTACAACCCCTCAGCTATTGGGTGAAGGGAGAAGAATACAAAAAAAGAGAAAATATCTTTTTTTCTGGCTAGTAAGGATGCCGTCTTCTCTCTATTGGTTTTGCCAGGTAGAAGTGGAAGGTGTTCACATGTGGTTTTCTGCGGGGACCCTGTAGATTCCTCAGAGGGGAATGTGGAGCCCCACAATCACAATTTCTTAATGAGGGAGATCCAGCTCTTGCCAGAGCTTTTAACTCTTCCGCAGTCCATTTGATTGTGGTCCCCCAAAGTGTCTGTGGTGTCTCTTTGCCTCTCTGCAGTCTCTGAGAAGGAAGGGTGAGAGAGGCTGGGTGTCAGACGCTTAGTTTTGGTAGCTCTAGAATGTGGCGCATTTGAAGCCTCTGTTTTAAAATCTGACTTCCTGTCACCAACTTCAGCACAACCACCACCAAAAGTCCAATTTAACATTTTTTCACATTGTTTTATCTGAGCAAATGTTTTCCTTGGGTTAAGTAGAAGGGCCTCTCCAAATCAACTGGGTTCTAGTGGTTAGTTCTGGTGCTGCATTTTAAGGGAGATACTGAAAATCAAGCCCCTCCCCACAATCCCCCTGCCCCATCCAAATTAGAGAAACTAGTTAGGGTTGCCAGATAAACTAATGGTGAGAAGATCAGAAGCCTCTTCATTGATGAGACAGTCTGTGGAGTATTGAATATGGTTAGCCTGGAGAATAAAAGATTCAGGGATTATATGATAACTGTCTTTAAATATACGATTGATTTTCAGGTAGTGTAGAGGTTAGGACTTCTGTACCCAGCAAGTTACAGGGAAATTAATTTCATTCTATGCAAGAATTTCTCGAAATCAGAGCTTTCTAAAGGTGAAATTGACTTTAAGATGTAGTGAGCTTGCTGTTATTGAAGTACATTATTTAAGCATAATTGAATACCACTTGGGAGGGGTGTTGTCAAAGGGCTTCAACAATAGTTGTAAATCATGAGTTGACTTTCAATATTCCTTTCAGTTTTTTGGTTCTTTTATTCAAGAGACTGACACAGAATAGCTAATCACTTTAGTCAATACTTATGAAGAGTCAGAATATTGGTGGGATCAACACTGATCTGGGTTCTGATTCCCAGCTTTTTAGCTTTCTGGTTAAAAGACAAAATATTTGCAATTCTCCTTCGTTTTCTTGTAAAAAGACACAATATTTTGATGCATTAGCTGGAATGCTTACGTATTTTTTTAATAGGCAACATATGTTCTTAGGAAGAACATTTAGGTCCACCTTTGAGGGCACCATTTTACCAACATCAAGACATTTACAAAACTAATTAATAATCAAAAGTTTTTATTGAGCAAACACTCAAAACCAAGGTAATTTGATGGTTTCAGGAAGAGCATTGAAAATTATTGATTTTCTAATGTATACTATTCCTGGAATATGGGTGTTTCAATACTGACTCTTATGAAGCAGATTACAATTAAAATTCCATTTGGATTTTTTTTAAACGTGAAAAAGTTATTTCAAAGTTTAATTAGAAGAACAAACTGGGGAAAATAGGCGAAACTTTTGAAAATGGAGAGTTTGTAGCCCTACTTATATTTTATTAAAATGCTATAATAATTAGAACAGTGTAACACTGGTATAAAATAGATTGACAGATTGATGGAAAAGAATAGAAAGCTCCCAAATAGACTGTTGTATAAAAAAATTAAATATATTTTTAAGGAAGCATCATACATCAGAAAGATGAGAAAGATTGATTCAGTAAATTTTAGTTGCACATTCCTATTTAGCTATACAAGATAATGGAAAAAAAAGACTTAGATCCAAATTTCATACCATATTTCAAAATATATCCCATGTTAATTAGTTAAGTATTATTAATAAAATCATAATAAAACCTAGATTAAACAGATGGGTATTTTAAATCTGAGGATTAGGAAAGCTTTTAAATTAAGAAGTGATAAAAGAAATAGAGAAGGAAAGAAAAATGTTTTGATTATGGACAAATGTAAAACATTAAGAAACAACGTATGTAATCAAAAGGAAAAACTGGTAAAAAAATAATTGGCAATATATATGACAAAGAGGTGCTTAATTTCTTTACCAAATAGAACTCATTCAAATTCATAAGAAAAATTCCTAAAACGAATAGGACAGAAGGCATGAACACACAATTCACAAGAGAAAAATCAAATGACACACATATGGAAAAATGTTCGGCGTCGTTAAGAAATGGAAATTAAAGTGTAATTTCACCTTCTAAATTATCAAAGATTTGTTTTGAAGACTAATCATACTGATTAGAGAGCAGAGGAAAGCAATTTAATATGTGCCAAGAGCTTTATAATGTCAATATCCTTTGGCCCTGTAATTCTATTTCCAGAATCCGTCCTGAGAAAATAATGCAAAGCAGAGCAAAAGTTTTGCATTTTTGCAGAATCTTGAAAATCATGAAAAATTCTTTAAAAACTAAGAAATAAGGCAATAGTTAAGTACATTATGGCATCTCCATATTAAGGAATATTGTGCTGCTGTCAAGATTGTGTTTACGAATGGTTTTTAATTATATGGGCAAATGCTTATGTTGTAGTGATAGGCAGAAAGATAAAAGTATGTAGTTCCTTACAATATGCTTTGCAAAAAAGACTAGAGAGAGGGTCATCAAAATATTAACAAAAAATTGTCATCAGTGCCAGGGGTACTATCACTTTATTTTGGACCATGTTGGATAAACTCAGCCAAATTCTTGTTCTTTGGCTCTGTTTTCTCTTGATGCCATGTGGCTTACCACCCTTCTGTTAACTCATAATTTCCTCAGTCAGATGATAATAAATTTAATTTGATTTCCTCTTTCTTTTCATTAGAATATCAGCAGGCAACCTTGATTATGCTTGAGAGGTTTTGGCCTCTTAATCAGGTTTGGGAATCTCTTTAGATTTTTGAGAAACACATTTGCAAAAGATTTGGATGAAGGTGTGCAGATGACTACTGTCATTTTTTAAAACTTGATTCTACTAGCTTTAGTTTTATAAAATTTCACCTCTCAATTGGTCCACAGGTTCTGAGGTTGTATTTGGAGCCTATAGCCTGACTTGTGCTGACTACTCCATCTATTATCTGTTGTCCCCCTACTTACCCACCTAAGCTTGATTTTCCCTTTTGTTGGCTACAATGTCAAATTTGGCTGTCCTGATGGCTGCATGTGTGGGAGGAAATTTTCAAGTAATCTGACCCACTTTAGAAATCTGTCTTCCAATCAGGACTGCAGATGGTTAGGTCTCGGTATTTGGTCACGGCACACCTTGGAACACCCCACTTTTCTTTTTTGAGCCATTTCCTGTCCTATCAAAGAGACATAGATAGCAATCATGGATGCACAAGGCCTGCTACCTGTTTCCTCGATCCTAACAGAAATGAGATCAGTTTGCCACATATTGTTCTTAGTAAACTCATCCTGACTTCTAGCAGTCACTGTGTCTTTTCCAAGTGCTCATAAACTTCTGTTTACTAATCTCTCCTAACATTTTGCCAGAGATACATGCAATAGTACTTTTTCCTCATTTCTGAAAATCAGGACATCTGCTCATGTCTGGTTTTATTCTTCGTGTCTTGCTCTTCGTGATTCCTCAAAGGTCATAGGAATCACACTTGCATGTTATTTTTGCCTGCTGAAATGTAATTAATTTTGATGTAGAGACCTAAATTCATTTAGCATGATTAGATGCTTTCATCCAGGTTTCCAATTCCCTCGCTGATGTAAACTTACCTTACATCCAGGTTTCCAATTCCCTCGCTGATGATGTTTGTTCTATCCTTTTCGGAAGGAAGATCATTCTTGATGGAAAAGATGAAGCCATACCGGAATGAAGTAATTGTTTTTCTACATAATCTGTTTACATTAAACCATCTTCTCCAATAGATGCAAGACCTACTGTGTTCTTCTTACTCTAAACATAGCTTGTGGACTTAAACATTTTCTGTAAATCTCAGCTCTTAATGCTTCTTAGAGAACTGTGACAGCCTTTTGCTGTGATCTTAGGCAAATTATTTAACCTTGGTTTCCTCATCTCTAGAAAGGGAATAATAATATTTTACATCATTGAGATTATGAAGATTGAATGAGTCAATATTTGTGAAGGGCTTGGAGAGTTAGCACCAGTTATTCTTTAAATAAATATTCTTAAAAAAAAATCTGTGCTCCCTAGAGAACTCCTCCCCCCATTTTGTGTATACCATCCCTTCTGTTTGGTCATTGGGATTATCATAATTGAGTGGTCAGAATTTATTTCTTCATTAATGAATGCTACAGGATAGCCTCAGCTGTTTACAAAGCGCATAGCATGCATTTGATCATTTGGTGCATTACTCATTAGTAAACTCTTTAAATCACTTAATCATTTGATTGTAGCTCACTGAACCTTTAGTACTGTTTATAAGTGATAACTCTTGAAAATATTTTTATGACCTTTATGTGTTCTGGCTTTCGAATACATTTTCCTTTTCAGTTTAAGACAAATAACTGGTACCATTTCTCATCCTTACAGAGAACAATATAGTTTAGTATAAAGCTTTTTTTGGTTCCCACTGATATATGTTTGAGTGACGACAAAATGATTTAAATCTCATCCACTAAGTTTTATATGGTTTACAGCACTTATCTACAAAGCGATTAGCAGATTTATGAACTAGAAAGTTCTAATGTTTTTCTGATTATTTAGTATAAATCAATTTCTTCAGCTTTTATGTGGAGCATATTTCTTGTCCCACTTTGAAAACCTGTATATTTAGGTAGATTTTCCCATCGCAACCTTTCATGGCTTCTAGTTTGATTTCCAACCCTGATTAAATAACTTTATTTTATAGCCAGCTTTGGTCCCTTTTTTTTTTTTATTAACTTAGGAAAAGAAGCTGAAATGTATATATTTAACACATATCTTTATGGTGTCTGTCTAAATGCTTAAATATATATTTTGTCTCTTTTTCCTTTGGAGGATATGTAAAACTGAATGTTTGTAGGGGCTGGCCCCGTGGCCGAGTGGTTAAGTTCGCGCGCTCCGCTGCAGGCGGCCCAGAGTTTCGTTAGTTCGAATCCTGGGCGCGGACATGGCACTGCTCGTCAGACCATGCTGAGGCAGCGTCCCACATGCCACAACTAGAAGAACCCACAACGAAGAATACACAACTATGTACCGCGGGGGCTTTGGGGGGAAAAAAAAATCTTTAAAACTGAATGTTTGTAGAAATTTCTACAGGTTTTTTTCCCTTTTGAGCAGTCACAGAGAAGCTCTGTAGGGGAATGTATAGCATTTTTTGTGGTTTAGAAAACGTATGTTTCCCTGAAATCCTTCAGGCAGGATTTGGCTAATTGAAGGGTAGAATATCCCGTAAGTCCTTAGGAAATGAATCCCTCAGCTCTATAGAAGTAGGCGACGTGTTTCCAACTTCTGGTCAGGATGACAATGTGAGGCGAAGTGTGCCTGTTTTCTGCTAGCGTTTCCAATCCATCCAAATGGGCAGCAGAGCGAGGGGTTAACAGGGCTTCATGCTTAATACTCACTGTACACTCATTACCTCTGTGGAGAATTTGCACAAAAGGGACCCAGAGGATAACTTAAAGGTCTCTTTTCTTGCTCTAGCCTGCTTTGCCAGCCTTATATTCTGGGACCTCCTTGAAGGGGCCTGATATTCTAACTAAATGGAAATATTTGCTACTTCCGCAATCTTTCCCATGCCTTCTGCTATCTATAGCTTAATCAACAGCCAAAGCTTTACTAATTAGCATCCTGGAATGCCAAAAAAATTTTGTTAATTGTTGAAACTAGTGACTTGTTAATTAGCATGATAAATACTGGAAAACAGAGCTCATTGGTGAAATTAAAAGTATTCAATATATGTAGGTGGCTAAAAAACATTAAAGACACGGTCTCCAACCTTGCATGAATTTGGTTTCAGAATTTGGCAAGGTTTGTACCCTATCCCCTTTGAGACGGTGCCCTAGGCTTGATCCCTAATTGTGCCTGTGTCCAGCCATTGGCTTGGGACGGGGTTTCTCAACTTTGTCACTATTGACATTTCGGGCTGGATAATTCCTTGTTGCGGGGGCCTGTCCTATGCATTGTAAGATGTTTAACAGCATCCCCGGCCTCTACATACTAGATGTCAGTAGTACACTCCCCTTCTTGTGACAAGGAAAAATGTCCCTAGACATGGTCAGTGTTCCCTAGGAGGCAAAAGCACCCCAAGCTGAGAAACCATTCGTTTAGGAGGATTTCTGCTGGCACGATTCTGATCACAGGGAGCAGAGTCCTGCCTAAGGTACGCGGCCGTGCCTGAGAAAATGAGTCACACAGGGATGCAGAACCTAAAGCACGACTGTGACTTCCCCGGGTTTCAGAGTAGACTGTGTGCTTAGTTTGTGCCTGCCATGCTCCTGGATGTTTGTCCAGTACATCTCCGTCTAGCATAACTGGGTCTGAACCTTTCTTTCATTATAACCAAGTAGTGAGGCTGGTGGTAGCTAGCTAACCCTCTCCACCACAGGCTTCTTTGGTGGCTTCTGTGATTTACCAAAAAGAACCTAAGAATTGTGACCAAGTTTGCTTTGGTCAGTGCACAAAAGGCTGTCACCTAGTCTAGCGACGGCAGATATCCGAACCATCCATTGCAGACAAATGCTGCTTTGCTGTAAAGAAGGCGTCATGGAACTCAGTACGCCTGACAGGTCCTGGAGAGCCCCACTGGAGAGTGGCCCAGTAGCAATCTGCAAATTCAGTGCTCAAGCTGGGCTCAGATGCCAGTGGCCACTTCTTGCAGCTTCTCCCAGTCTTTAAGGTGATTCTTTTGGAGACGCCGTCAATTTGCCTGAGTGATAAAGGTTAAAGGAAAAGGGAGGCCACAGCGCTTTCTCTAGGCCTTCTGTCACTTACCCAAGCTTCTCTAGTTATCTGCCGGGTAGAGATGAGGAGCAAGCTAAGGCGGGGCAGGGTCTGCCTTTCTTGTGCATCCTAGAGGAGTCATCTTGCTCTTCAGAGGTGAACGTTCTCATTAGAAAGTAAGGTAGTTAGCACTTCTTGGGGCTCAGTATGAACCCTAAGTTGTAGATCCTAAAATAGCAGTTACATCTACTCAACATCCTATTACAGAAATATCATAATAAAAGCTGAAATCTCTCTTCCTCACACACACTCCCCAATACTACCTCCTCCACTTAATTTTTTTCTGAAAAGTCTTGAAAGAACTGATAAAATGCAGAGAATGATATAGTGAGCACCTGTGTACCAACTGCTCACTACTCAAAATCGACAAAGGTAGCATATTTTCACATTTAAAAATTTTTTTTAAGTAAAAGAAATAGAACATTATAAAGCTGAAATCTCTTTGTTCACTCCCAACCACATCATATGCCTCTTCCCAGAGGCAATTACTATCATGAAGTGGGTGTGTATCCTTCATTTTTTTTAATAATACAGCCATGAATCAGCAAATAATAGACATCATTTATTTACATAAATATGTTCTATATGAATTGTTATGCAAATTACATTCCTTTTTACTCAAATTACTTTTTTACTATGCTTTTGAGAGCTTTATTAATGTAGAAAAAGATTTAATCATTTTAACTTCTCTGTAGTAATCTATTGTATTAATATACCATATTTTGTTTAACCATTCCCTATTGATGAACACTTATTTGCAATTGTTGATATTTTTATAAGCATAAGTACAGTGAACTTATTTATCTATATCTCCTTGTGCACAAGTGCAAGATTTTCACTAGGCCATATAGCTATAAGTGAAACTGTTGGGTCACACTTTCAAAGTCACTGTTTCTGGCGACAGTGCTTTCTAAATTTGACTGTGCAAGAGCATCTTGAGTAGGAGAGGTGTGTGTGTGTGTCACATTTCCCGGATCTCACCTCTCCCTGTTGGGTGACGTGAGAGCCTCTATGTGACCCACCCGGGTCCCCTGTTGTAAATTGGGGCTGCCATTAGTGACTTGAAGGTCTCCCGCAGCTTCTCATTGTGAGCCAGTGGGCATCTTAGCTCAGTGCATGGTGGTCTGCCTGTCCCTGCTTCCTCCTGTCACCTGGACAGTAGCTGGGTGCTGGGGGAGTTCAGAGCAGGGGTTGCAGCTCTATTTTGCTCTCTTTTCGCTAACAGAGGAGTCCTTCTCAATTCCCAGTTCACGCAGCGACCCTGGCTCCTTTCCCTTTCCACAGTCCCGTTACCGGGCCTGACTTGAATTCCTGGCAGCCACTGCGATTTCCTGTTGGGAAGCCCAGTAAGTCTGAGTCTTCTCACCTCTGTGTAGTTCTGTTCCTTTCCTGGACCACAGGAATGTTTATCCTGTTTTGGAGCACAGCTATGTCTTTTTAGTGTATTAAAAATATTTCTTAATGTTATGTGGATTTTTAGGGGGGTGGGGGAAGAGTCAGTAGCTTATGGAGTTATTTTGGCCAGAAATTTAACATAACAATTTTTAAGATTTTGTAGTCTGACTTTCTAGACCTTTGTCCATTATTTACGCACATGCACACAACACACATACAGACAAACGTGTGTGTGTGTATACATGAATGTCTTAAGATAAATGGAATCATGTTATACATATTGTTATACAACTTACTATAATAATATATCATAAAGATACATTCATCCAATGCATCTTCCTTTCTTCCTTCTCTTCCTTTCCTTCTCCATTTCTTACATGGTATTCCTTGATATTCATATAACGCAGTTTGTTGAACTATTGCTTTATTAGTTGACATTTAGGTTGTTTCTAATATTTCACAATTAAAGACTATGCTATAATGAACATACGTTTTTGTATATAGAGATATATATTTGTTCTCTGAACATCTGTAAACATTCCTGCAGTGGAGATTCTCCAAAGTGAAACTTCTGATACAAAGGTCGTGAC